AGCTGAATTTTTTATATATATATATATATATATATATATATTAGAAATAGTGCCTTGGCAACTAAAGGATTAACATTACTAAAACTAAATCTGAAAAAAATAAAAAATAAATGCTCAATAGAAAAAGATGACAAAAGCACATGACAAATTACTAAAACTAAAATTAAATAAAAAACTGAAAATATAAAAATAAAAGCTAATTCAAAATATTAATACACCCAGAAATTTAAATCTTTTTCAGTCATTTTGTTCCAAAACTGACTTTCTTCCAACTGAGAAGACTGCAGAAGTCAAAACAACTACTTTTTGGTTCTTCTTATGTACTTTTTTTGTGTCTTTAGTCAATATATGTTTTTATTATCTATAGAAAAGAGCAGCTTAGACATTCTACTAAACATCTCTTTTTGTTTCCATGAAAGAAGGAAGAGGTTTGTAATAATATGTGGTCATGTAAGTCATGATAATTTTTATTTTGGTGTTAATTTTTGTGTCAACTACCAGTTTTGTTATTGTTAACTACAACTATGAAAAATAGTTTTTGTTAATTTAAAGCTGAATTTTTTATATATATATATATATATATATATATATTAGAAATAGTGCCTTGGCAACTAAAGGATTAACATTACTAAAACTAAATCTGAAAAAAATAAAAAATAAATGCTCAATAGAAAAAGATGACAAAAGCACATGACAAATTACTAAAACTAAAATTAAATAAAAAACTGAAAATATAAAAATAAAAGCTAATTCAAAATATTAATAAATACTATAGCATTAAATAATGAATACTAAAATAACACTGTCAACTACTCCTTTAAGGTTGCAGTGTTGCATGTTGTTGAATGTTACAGCCAAAAAATAGCAATGCTATTACTATGAGCTCATTTAAATTACATGTTTGCTCCAACTAAAAATTCAATGAATTCATCACCTCGATCTAGTTCAAATAAGTTAAAAAAATAAAAAATAAATCTGGCAACTTTTGATATATAATAACAAATCTGAAAGGAATTCAGAGCCCATTGACGAAAAAACTCAAAGTTCATGGAGCATCTTCTTCATCTTAGATCAATTTTGCAGTGTTTCTGCGTTCCTCAATGTACCTCTTAGCAGTTGGAAAGTATCGGGAACACTGTGAGCCGTCCCAGGCGCAGTAAGGATCACGCGCCAGACAGCACTCAGCGCAGGCCTTCCCGTACACGTCACAGCGATGCAGCGGCATTTGAGAAACCCCAATGGCGGATCCCAGATAGAGCTGTTGCTGTAAAGATAGAGCAGAGAGATTGAGACTTCCTTAAAACAATGATGCCAAAGTTTTGATGGCCTGTGCTCTGGTATGATCTCTGAGTTAATGGCTGTTTCACTGAGGATACGGGAACTTTCTGAACTATCCCTTCAGATAACCTCAGTGTCTGCTTGATTATTCACACAATCTAAAGGAGAGCTCACGCTGCAGTCCTGAGTGTAAAACCAGCTGGTGTGTGTGTGTGTGTGTGGCCTCTAATGGCAGTACCTCATGTTGTCGTGTTGTGTGAGTGACTGACAGCAGCCCCTGCTCTGCGTAATGTAGCTGGAGGCCAAGCAACGTGTGTGTGTAACCCAGCCCAAGAGTAAGAGCTGTGTTGGGTTTTTTGGTACATGATAAATCTGGCTGGTCTATATCACCTCTGTCAGCAAAATGCAGTGCGGCATGACAATTTCCCCACAAAACAACCAGTGTTAACTCGGCAGACCAGTTCGCGCTTTTTCAAAAAGCTCACATGCTGGCTAGGTTCTGCACTCACAGAGATCACCTGTTAGACTTTTTGGTTCTTATTGTGAGTGAATGGTTTTATGCAAAGTTTGCATTTAAATCTAGGATAATATTTAGAATCAATTAGAGCTACATATCTGCAAACAGACTTCTAGTGGCCCACATTTTAACATAAAAAGCATGTTAGAATGTGTTAAGCTGAATTATTTAAACTTTTACTTATATATATTACCATCCAAACACTTGAGGTTGATAAGATTTTTTAATGTTTTTGAAAGAAGACTTTTATGTTCACCAAGGCTGCATTTATTTGATCAAAAATACAGTAAAACCAGTAATATTGTGAAATATTATTATAATTAAAAATAACTATTTTAATATAATTTAAAATGTTATTTAATCTTGTGATGTCAAAGCTGAATTCCTAGCAGCCATTACTCCAGTCATCAGTGTCAGGAATCATATTCAGTAATATAATAGAATAATTTGGATTAAGCAATGATAGAACAAGGATAAGAACAAATATACACAGCTGTTGTGAATTTCTGTCCACTTGTATACAAGTATTAGTGAATGAGACCCATTGTGTTCTATAAAGCATTAGGCCTATTTCGCTCTTTTAGATTCATTCTTTTCCCCGCACTTCACTTATTAAACCAGTTATGTTCTTCAGACTTGCCTAATGGAATCATGTTCAGTGCTGGCACTTATAAAGAGCTGCTTTCACCACCTTTATTGCATTAAGAGATCAGTTGTTTGAAGTTCTAATAATACCAACCTGCTTTGTGGAGAGTTCCATCGCAGTAATAGCTGTTGGCTCCTGTGAAAAAATAAGTGTTTTTAATACTTTATATTACAAAATATTTCTCAGTATGAAAAATGGAAAAAGAATACAACCTAAAAAATGATTCCTTTGAGGTATTTTAGTAGAAACATTTGACGGCGTTGGAATGTACACTAAATAGTTTTCAATGAACAATCCTAATAATGTACCGGTTAGGAATAAATTAGTATAATAAGCTCTATAAACCCACTCTGAACACAGTCATCTCTTCCAACAGGACTTCTTCAAGGTCATGCCATGTTCCTCTGGGGATGGAAACCACCTTAAGAACTGTGCCCATGTCTATGGTGGAAAAATAACATGATTAACTTGTGTTTTACATCTAGCATATACCAAAAAAAAAAAACATGTAAATAACATTATTAAAAAAAATCTTAATTCTACTCACCAGTGCCAATAAACATAACATCATACTGGCCGTCCTCTGCCTCCACCCTGTCCACCACTATCTGAGTAAACTGATAGTCAACATTGGTTTTGATTATGATTGGACGGTTGTTGATGGGAAACACTGGGTTGTACATGGCCGGATGGCTTCTGGCAAAAGTGATAACGTCATCAGGAAAGTCCTTTGTTGATTCAAAACCATCAAATGTTTTGCTGGGGCACTGTCAACATCCAGAAGAACATTTGTTCAAATCCAGGCAGGCAAGTCACTTTAATTTGAAAGTAAAATGTACAAAGGCATCAGCACTGATTGGCCATCTTACCGTGCCAGGTCTTGGATATGGCACTCTACCCAAAAACGGTACCCATTGGTAGTTGGGTCCATCTCGGTGGGCATAGGGGCCCAGAAACACCCTCCTGATATCCGCCATACCGTACATACACACCGCTGAGCCCTTAAAGATGTTACTGTAAACCCGAGAAACAGCAATTATGAGTTATTTGACAGCTTCGCCTTTAGGGACTTGAGACACAATTATCAAGCTTTGAATACAAAAAGACAGAGTAAGCATTCAGGCTTGGTGGGAAAAGGGAATTTGGTGTAAATTGGATATTTTAATACCTGGATGTTGTAAATACAGCATAGATGATAGGGTTTTTGGGATCCTTGGAGCTCATGAGAAAAACATCCTCTGAAAACGAGCAACATTTTTTTTTAGTGAGTGGACGACCAAATATGCCAAAACAGAAAAGTAGAGCAAAATCTGAAGGTATTGTCATAGCATGGGTAACTTACGTAGTTCATCAAAGTGTGTGTCGATGCCGTTCAGGCCAGGAACGGAGCAGATTAAACGGGCCTTCAGAAAGGTGGTCCATTTGTTCACCAAACTCCTGTGGCCTCCAAAATCGTTCTGTCAGGAACAAATTAAAATGTACTTGTATAATTTTACTTAATATTTACTTCAGACAAGCTAATGTGTAAAAGAATATAATTAGCACTACATTTTTACATTTACTTAAGAAGACGTGATGCTATAGGCAGGGCTATGTGCCATTCAGAATTGAACAAAGAATCCTTTTTAAATTCCATTTTAACCGAATTGAGGTATAAAACTAATTTGGATTTAAGGAAGTTAAATTAGGAAATTCAAAAAAATTCATATAACTCCATTAAGCTTTTGTCAATGCAAACTCTGAATTTTGACTTGACATCTGCATTTGAAAAATTAAAAAAGAAAAAAAAAAGTAGTTAAAAAAATTGAAATATTTATGGACTAGTGTGGATGAACATTTCACTTCCCGGAATACCATCTGTATGGTACTCTGTTGAATATATCTGTCAAATTTATTTGAACTAAAATTCTGTAAATTCCTCTGGGGCATGGCCAATTCAATGCAAATTTCAACGGAGTAGTGAATAGAGACCATTCGATTTAAGCTATCATTCATTTCTGAAGCACAGACAAAATGTCCTTTCCTATTCTAAATGTGATTAAAGGGGTCATAAATTGCATTTTTTCTTTTATAATGTAAAGATTTTCACTTAAAAAAAAAACTATTTTTCACCCTGTGTGTTAAGACACTTTTCAAAACTTTTACATTTATGCTATCACAGAATCATGAAAAAAGAATTCTACTGAGACATTCACATAGTTGAAAATAAACAGTCAGCTTTGCACTGATGTATTAATTTCTATTACATACTAAAGCTAAACGAGTCATTTTGGCAGCTTGGTTTCAATAAAAGCTGTTTTTAGAGTAACGGAAGTTTTTAGAGCTGAAACTTACAGTGTGTTTTTATAGTAAAATAACCTCTTACATGTCAAAAGATCAAGGAAAAATTTATTTCTCATTTCATGACCCCTTCAAGGTAAATGCACTCCAACATAAAATTCCCAAAACAATAACTCCAGTCATCCTTTGCACAGACAGTATTTATTTATAGAGAATAATTATTGATGATTCATTCATTTTAAAGAGGTGTGTGCATGTATACACACACACACACACACACACACACTCATGTCTGGTTTGCTATCCTTGTGGGGACTCTCCATAGGCGTAATGGTTTTTCTACTGTTCAGACCGTATTTTCTATTGTTCTACACCAACCCTACACCTAAACCTACCCCTCACAGGAAACTTTCTGCATTTTTAGATTTTCAAAAAACTTAATTCTGTGTGATTTATTAGCTTGTTTACCCGTGGGGACCTCAATTTAGGTCCCCACCGTGACACGAGTCCCCATGAGTCTGTGTGTATTCATGTTTAAGTCCCCACCAGAATAGAAAAACAGGTACACACATACACACACACACACACACACACACGTCTTCAATCTTGTTTTACACAAAAAACCTGGCAGTCAGCACGAGAAACAAATGAGCAATAATAACAGTTTCCGTCACTGTGGATTGATCAGCTCTAATTAGCAAAGCAGGAAAATGTGTTACATAAACTAAACATACACTTGGCATAATAAGACAATTGTATGCGCCGGTGAAGGGAGGATTCCAGTCATACCGGAATACCGAGCGAGTTGTAATTGAGAACACCTTTCTAGCTCTTCAAGCTGTAGACTCGCACTTGAGCTGAGCGAGTCTGCCAAAGTCTCACATTTTCTCCACAGAGGAGTCTTTGTTCTCTCGGCTGATGGCTCCTGTGACATTTTAGGCATCTCTTAAATTTCACGGTGGGGGGTGAGAGCAAGGCCACAAAACAGAGGTGAAGCCAAATGCAAAAACACTGGCTGGGTCTTCCTGCTACCTGCATCGCCACCATGAGGAGGAGAGGAATGGAGCAATGTTGTGTGTGTGTATGCATTACCATGGTAAAGAAAAATCACAAATAAGATCTAGTTAATATATACAGAACTACCACATTTTGCTATAAGTTTGATTGCATCATATAATAATTGTTGTTAATAGTGTTCATCGTCTGTTTGATTACGTCTTTAATTGATTTTTCTGTACATTTCTGCCATATGTACATTGACTGACAGTCACCACTGATAAGCTACCACTAAATATTGTAGAAACTTAATTTGCTGTAAAGTTGCTTTGCAATGATTTGTATCGTGAAAAGCGCCGTACAAATAAACTTGAATTGAATTGAATTGAATTGAATATCTCAATCGTGTCTTCTATACAACAAGATTAAATGGAAGCAGTCTCTTAAAGTATTTTTCTGAGAAAAAGAGTACTGAACTGTGCTCAAATTTGCTAAGATATCAACAAAGTCAGAATGGTATTGTCCATTTTTGCAAAATTATCTTACGTTGCTTCTTGCTTGTTTTGCGACACTTTCAAAGTGAAATGTCCAGTGAGTTGCGTGTTCGGTTTTATCCGAAACAGATGGAAGTGGATCTAGCAACGTTTTATTACATTGGCTGTTGTACGTATCATGGCAGTTTGGAAATGAAATGTCTGATGAGTCACATTTGATCACATTTGAAAATAACGTAACACCTACACTAAATCCTACCCTAAACCTAACCGACAGTGTTAAAGGGGTCCTATTATGCTCTTTTACAAAGTCTTGATTTTGTTTTGGGGGTGTACTAGAACAGGCTCTCATACTAGGTTGTTCGAAAAACACATTATTTTTCACATATTTTACATTATTAAAACACCTCTCTCCACAGTCTGGCATGAACGGCTCGAGTAGTTCCTGTATCAAAAGAATGCCCGCCTTCTGAAATACGAAATGTGCTGTGATTGGTTAGCTGGGCCAGTGTGTGTTGTGATTGGCACCACTCGGCGCCTGGTCGGGAAATGTCATGCCCCTTACCAAAGCCGCCTGCGAGCTTCAGTGTAAATATTGCGTCAAAATCAAATCAATTTGAGC